AGCCAAATGAGAGGAATTTAATTTACAAGTTTACTCAAGTGATTTAACATCCAGTTTTCTTCATTAGATGTATTTTTTAAAATTAGAAACTTATTTGCAGGTTGCAGCAAGTGAAAGACTGCAACGACAGAGAAAGCAAAAATTAAGACATTATACTAGCTACTGGAAAAAAATCACATTGCTAGAAAAAAAATCACATTGCTAAATTATGTATAAATGACATGATCCCTTTTTTTTGGTCACATATACTCATAGCCTAGCCTAACATGGAAAAAAATTGGGGGGCAGTACATCAAACTATTACTGATATTATTAGGGACCTTTCTCAGTTATGTGATTCTGTGTTTGCTTCTGTGTTATTTGATATTTTATAGCAAGAGTGTATTATTTTTAAAGAAAATTTGTATAAGCTTAAAACAATAGTTTTAACATCCTGAATATTGATAAATGGTGTATGTTAAAAGTTTTTATCATCTTACCTTCTTATGCAGGATGTAGTTAAAAAGAAGTTTTGCAGAGATGTTTTATTGCTTCAAGTCCCTTCATGTTTATATCAAGATGAAAATTATATTGATGATAAATACAGGAGGCCATGGACAAGAGGTATGCTTTATTTTTATTTCTCAAAAATGTGTTTTAAAAATTATTTCAAAGTTTAAGAAAATACTGTGCTTTACTCATTATAGGCTCATTGTATTTATTCATATCAGAATACCAAGAAGTTTACAGGTTGATATTTTTTATTAAAAGATTTATGTGATTGTGTAAGGAATTGGATAACATACCAGATATAACATATAAGAGATGTAAATGATGAAGTAAAAAATGCTAATATTGTAAACATTGATTTTATCATAATAAGACTTTTCTTGTCTCTCTGAGGTTTAAGTTGTAATGATATACTGAGTATGAAATTACTTTTAAATATATTTGTATAAAATATCATCATTTGTTTCTATCAAATCATAGACTAGCAAAGAGATAGCCTCCTTGGAGGAGTCAAGTCAGTTAATATATTTGTTTGGTATATACCAAGCAAGGTACTAAGGATACAGCTACTAATAAGACATAGAAATAGTCCTGGCCTTTAGTGGTTTTGGAGACTGATAAGGAGAATGTAGCAATGAAGCCATTAAATATGTAAACTTAGATCTGGAATGTATAAATGTAGGAAAGACGCAATAATAAGATGAAATTTCAGTAGTGGGGAGTGCTGTGTCCTACATTGGTTAAGGTAATGCCTCTGTGAAGAGGTGTACATTGAGTTGAGATCTGAATTATGACAAGGAACAGCCATGAAAAGACATGAGGGAAAATCTTTTCAAGCAAATGCAAAGTGCCTGACTCCGGAATGAACTTGATCTGTTTAAGGACCAGAAAATTAGGCTATTATGACTGGGTAAGGAAAAGGGGGAGATCTGATATGTAAGCAGGTTTTGAATTACATAAGGTTTTGTAGACCATAATATGGCCTTTATTTATTTATTTGGTTATGGCTGCAATAGACTGAATGCTTGTGTCCTCAAAATGCACATGTTGAAACCCAATGTGATGGTATTTGGAGGTAGGACTTTTGCGAGGTGATTAGGTCATGAGGATGGAGCCTTGATGAATGTGATTAGTACCCTTATAAAAGAGACCCTAAAGAGCTTCCTTGTCTTTTCTGTCATGTAAGGATCCAACAAGATGATGAACTCCAAATGGAACCCTCACCAGACCCTGGTTCTGTTGGTGCCTTGATCTTGGACTTTCCAGCCTATAGAAATGTGAAAAATAAATGTTTTGTTGTTGTTTTTGGTTTTTGGCAGTACTGGGGTTTGAATTCACGGCTTCACACTTGCCAGGCAGATGCTCTAGTGCTTGAGCCATGCCTCCAACCCCAAAATATAATGGTTTTATTTGAGCCACCCAGACTACAGTATTTTTTATATAGCAGCTAAAACTCACTAATAGAATTTCAGATATTGGAAGCCAATGGACAACTTTTTAAAAGGGAGTGACATACCCTTTTATGTCTAGAGTATAAAAGGGGTAGAGATTAGGAGTCAAGAGGAAAGATGAAAATCAATCAGGAATCTATCATAATGGCCCAGAATCTAGACCTAGGTGAATCTAGACTCTAGATAAAAGATAATGGTGGCTTACTCTTAAGCTTATGGTAATGGAGATTTGAGTAGTCAAAACTGAGATTGTTGTAGAAGTGATAAGGCTTTAAAACATAGAATAATGAAGAATTTCTTCTCTATTTTTGACCTGAATAACTGAATGAATGACAGTGCTATTTCCTAAGGTCAGGAAAGGCTCATGGATAAGCCAGTATTTATCCAGAGTCAACATTTCTGCTTTTGGCCCATTTATTAGACATCTAAGTGAAGACATTAAGATGGTAAATGATTACTTTAATCTTCATCACAGTGAGGCAGAACAGTTCTTTAGGTGGCCTTGGACCAACTTAGTTTACCCCTTTCTCACTTGTAGTTCTTAAGAATAACAGTAAAATATACTGGAAAATGCAACTCTGAAACAAAGGGGAAACTGGCTGGAACAGCCCAGGCTCTGTTCTAGTCTCCTAGAAATAGATGTCCCTCAATGCTTTAGCCCAGTGAGCCCTACATCACAGGAACATAAAACCTAGGATAGACATCTATCTGGGGTCCCTCAGCTGCTGTGGGAGTAGAACATGTGAAGACAAGATTCAATCCACCCTGGGCACCTTTCCTGAGCCTTACAGGACCAACTTATAAGGAATCCTAGACTTTTGTTATCCCTTACTGCCTGTCCATAAGAAATACCTTCATGTAACTTGTGTGTGGGTATTTTATCCCACCCTTCTCACAAAAGTTGGTAACCAGTAAACAGAAACCTGCTTCACACATTGGAGTTGTCAATATGTAAACTGCACATAAACTTATGAAACTGAATGAAACCACCAAGAACATACATATAGATAAACCAGATAGCCTAGGACAGACTCCTGGAACACTCCAGTAGCTAAAAATCTTTTGTAGAAGAATGAACCAGCTAAGAAGTGAGGTAGAAAAGCCAGATGAGTATGGCCTTGTAGAATTCTAAAGAAAGTGCTTAAGAGGGAAGTAGTCAAATGCATTGGCTCCTGTTAAAAGTCAAGTTGTCAACTTACATGAACAACGTTACTTGTCTAAAAGTAGGTCATAGATAACCTTGATAATGCTTTCCCTGGAATAATGGTTATGAACATGGTAGAATATGACTGGAATGTGATTAGAGTACATTTGAATATGATTGGTGTATGTTGAGAAGAGAATGTGAAGTAAGGAAGAAATATAGTGAATTTGGACAACTTTTTGAGGAATGTTTTTATGAAGAAAATTTTAAATGAAGCACTAACTGAAGGGAGAATTTTTTGGTTTTGTTTTTAGATGTATGATTCTTAAGATGTATGATTTTTAATGTATGGTAAGAGACTTAAAATGTTTGCCAATGAAAATGGCAATGTAATGGTTCTCTTGTATAGATAGGAAGATTGTGCTTGAAGGTACTTACGGTAGCAGGTTGGTAGAATTGGTGGTGGAATATTAATAGTTTCTTTTTATTTGTACCAGTTTTGTATGTGAAGGCAAAGTCATAGAAAAGGAAGTAGGGGATAAGCATTGAAAATTTGAAGGGGGAAATGTAGGAAATAGCTGAAAGAGCAAGAAAGGCACTTTTATTAGGAGATATTCTGCTGTCACCTGTCTATGTGAATGGACATTTGTAATATTATAATTTGAAATTAATTCATTCAGCATGGCTGGATGATTTTTTCCCAGTAATTTTCAGCTGTCCTATGGAACATACATAGAAAGTAAAGAGTAATGGTTAACCTAAGTTAATACAAAGGAAGGAGAGGCAAGGTAATCAAGTCTTTGTAAGGCAGTGCTTTTGGAACTTACCATGGAACCTACTCTGTTTGAGAAAGGAAGTGATGACATGAGAAAGCATTATGAACATTGCAAAAAATTGGAAGGGTCGATGAATTAAAGTCTCAATCAGGCTGGAAATACAGAATGGCTTTCATCAAACTGCTGCTCCAGAAGTAGAGGAGGGAAGAATGTTTACCATTTCTTTCTCTTTCTTTTCATTTTCTTCTTTTTAAAAATAATAGCAACAAAAAATGAAAATGACAATAACAGCCCAATTTTATTAGACATTTACAAAAATGTTAGACATTGTTCTAAGTAATTTGTATGTATCATCACATTTAATCTTTGCAATAACACTATGAAATGCCTGTTATTATTCCTCATTTGCACATAAAGAAAGTGAGGTACAAAGAGGTTATGATTTACCCAGGATCTAAAAATTAATAAATACAGTATAAAGATTAGCATCTAGACAGAGTGATGATAGAACCTGTGCTCTTAACCATATATTCTCATATCTTTTCAATAAGGCACAGATTCAGATGGTTAAATGATTCACTTAAAACAAAACTAGTAAGAAGTAATTCTGACAGTAGAATACCGTTTCTACTGGTGGTAGAATTACTCAGTTGCGAAGTCTACTTCTAGTACTTGATGTAGTCGCTTCTCCTTAAGGAACCAGGGGTTTAACTTCGGAGACAAGTTACAGATTCATAAAGAATTGAATATAAAACTGTACCTAAGTAAGTACCAGAATGCTGTTGGCAACATTGTAGAACTTAAAGGAGAATACATGAGAGTGAGCTGGACTGGTTAGTGAACAAAAGCCTTATGAAGTGCAGCATGAGCTCTTAAATAGGACTATCTGGGATGATAGTGCTTTCTAAGCTTCTCTTTTGCTTGAAAGCGAGGATGGTATGTTCAAGTGATACTGTTCTGACTATGGTTGAGTTTGGGGAAGGCAGTTTGCAATAATGAAATTTGAAATCAAGTATCACTGTGGAAAAAGTTGTATTTGTGAACAAATAAAGATAGCATAATGTAAAAGGTGAATGGCTAGCTTACTTATATTAAATATAAAAAATTTCCTTTCTAGTCTCAGCTGTTTCAGTTCGGGGAATGACAGATAACTCAATCTTGGATCAGTGGAAAGCAAGTTTCTTTATGGAGGATTTCCTTGAGAAGTATGTTTTCTTAACCTCAAATTTCCCTTTACAACTGTAAGATAAACAGTTAAATTTTTCAGACACCTGTAAAGGGAAAATTCCTTTCCTGTATGCCCTCACACATTTCTTCTTTATCTGGAAAAAAAGCTCTGATTTTAATCACAAAGGAGAGGTTAATTTATAAGTAATTTATATCCTTTTTATTCTCCCTTCATTTGTCATATTTTAATTATTCTCTATTCATTAATGTTGCAAAAGACATTCAGAAACAAACCAAATGTGTTATTATGCTCTTAATCAATAAGTATGCCTTCCGTGGAAAGTGTTTATAGAAAATTCTTCATATTAAGATCTGTCTTTTTTTCCTGTAGATTAAATGCAGATTTAAGGCTATTTTCTAATGTATTTTGTCAAAATTATTTATTTTTAGTTTAGTAATTCATCAACCATTTGTATATTTGTGTGTTGTATACTGGGTATGAAAATGAGTAAGATGTAGTTTATACCTTCAAAGAAGGTAAGAAAGCCGGGAATAGAGATTAATAAATAAATAATTACAATACACTTTCCAAAGTACAATGACATAAATAGGCACACAGAGCATCTAATAGGAGGAAGAAGGTCTAACCTGTTCTACATTGTTAATGTAGAAATAAATTTGAGACTTACGTAGATAATTTACCCTCTTGCTTCACTTTGTGCAGAATGCTGATCATACTCATGAAAGATTTTATTATTATCTATTAATATATCTTTGGAGAAATAGCTATTCAAGTCTTTTGCCTGTTTTTTTGGTCTGGGCTATTTGTTTTATTAGTGGGCCTTAAGAGTTCTTTATATATTCTAGATACAAGTCCCTTATCAGCTATATGGTTTGAAAATATTTTCTCCCGTAGATTATCTTTTCACTTTCCTTATGGTACTCTTTGAAAGTCAGCATCTTTTAACTTTGATATAATCTGACTTACTTATTTTTACTTGTGTCACTTGTGCTTTTATGTCACATCTAAGAAGCCTTTACATAATGCAAAGTCACAATAATTTATTCCTTTCTTCTAAAAGTTTGCCTGTCATTTTTTAAGGACATAAATCAGATTATAAAATACCTCTATTATAGCCCACCAGTGGTGTCCCGCTGAATGTAGAATAAAGTCCAAAGTGCTTACCAAGGAATATAAGGTCCAGAATGATTTGATCTCTGCCACCCTGTCTAACATTACTTTGTTCCAGTCACTCTAACCTGCTTGAACTATGGCAACCTTGTTTCCCCCCTTTAGGCCTTTGTATGGCTCACTCCCTACCATTGTTCAGATAACTGTAGAAGTATCAGCACTCCATGGGTCTTTCACTAACCATATTCTCTAAAATATACCTTTTGCCGCACTGTGGATGTTATTTGATATCCACGTAGCTTGTTTTATTTCATCCATAACAGTTTTTACCACTTGACATTGTTATTTACTTACTTATTTGTCTATCTTCACTTTAGTGAATTAACTTTGTGAGGGCGAGAAATTTGTTTTGTTTTCTAGTCCATTCCCAAACCTAGACTAGTATTAGCACAATGTAGACACTCAACAAATATTTTTCCTAAGTAATGAATGGCAGTGGATGAAATTATTCAGAAAGAATGATAGCAAATGAAAGCAAAAGCAACCTAGATGGAAATTTTCAGTAATAACAGTATTTACAGGTTAAGCAAAGGAGAAGGCTGTAGTTAAGAGAGAGTGAGTAACATTGGTCAGGGGAAGTAAGAGGAAAGCCAGGAAAACACTGATCTTCATAGATCATATGGATCAATGCATAAAGACTTGACTGTGTATTCTCAAAACTGTAATACCAAGTATTATTACAAAGTGCCAACTCTGTCAGCAGTGCTTATTTTTAAAAAGACAACAGCTAAATGAGGATTAAATTCAGAAGTCTATAAAGATCCACATAAAAATCAATGCACTTCATGTGCAATATAGACATGGGAGAGTTGTAATATTTCTTCTTATGTCTGCATTTTCTTTAAGAGTAAAGGAGACATTTCAGAGATTTTTCTACCTATGATATTAAGACATGACATTTTCATTCTTTTTTTCTGATTATTTTGGGGGGAGTTATATTGATTGCAGATCTTTTGGTCTGTACCAGGGACTTATTAGGGCTAAAATATCTTAGGATATTAGAAGAAAGGTTTATTTGGATGTATGACTAAATTGCCAGTACTGTGATTATCTGTTAGAAGATCTCTCATAATGCCAGTATCTTAATGGTATAGACAATGGCAGCTATGCCTGTATCAATTAGGAGACAGGTGTGGTAAGGTTAAGGGAGACAAAAATAAACACACACAAACAAATATTTATCTCCAGCACTGGAACAAAGGAAGTTGTTACCCCAGTTAAGTTTGAAGAAAGGAGACTGAACAATTACTAACCTAGTAAGAACTACAGCTATAGGAAAAGGGCTGTCTGATAAGAGATGTAACCTTTGGTGGAAGAGTACAGCTACTTCCAAATGGTGGCCCTGCAAAGAAGGATATGGGAGAATAATATTCTAACTTGTCTCTCTTTCCTACCTTTGATTTCCTGCCAGAGCTTCCTGGTTGGCTGTACCCAACCAGAAGCCAAAGGGCTTTTATGAAAGTTTGGTTGGTTTATAGAGATCAGCTTTCCAGATTGCAGAGCAGAATAAAAAAGTTTGTATAATGCTGTTGAGGAGCAGACATTGAATATATAGCACAGGGTCAGGGGTGTGGCTCAAGTGGGAGAGCACTGCCTAGTAAGCAAGGGGCCCTGAATTCAAACCCCAGTATTGCCATTTAAAAAAAAATCATGCTTTATGAACACAAAAAGTCTAACACATCTCCAACACTGCCAAAAAAAAAAAAATGAAGGCCAAAACCCACCGAATATACAGCACAAAGGCAGTTTGACAATGAGTGGCAAAACTTTAAAAAATCTAAAAGCATTTAACTTCATCATTTCTGTTTTTAGGAGATGTATTTTGAGAAGATGATTAGATAAGTGCACAAAGATATTCCTTGCATTATTGCTCAGAATAACAAACAATTATAAGCTTAAATTTCCCATAATAGGGAACTGGTTGAATACATTATGGTTTAGTGATTATGTTAGTCAACTTTCCATTACTTTAACAAATTACCTGAGGTAATCAAGTTATAAAAAGAAATGGTTGTTTTGCCTCAAGTTTTGAGGTTCTAGTCAATGATCAATTGATTGGCCCCACTGCTTTTGGGCCTGTGGTGAGGCAACATATCATGACAGGAGCTACGGCAGAGCAAAATCACTCACCTCATGGACTGAAAGTGAAAGAAAGGAAAAGAACCAGGGTCCCACTATCCCTTTCAAGGGTATGCTCCCAATGACCTAAACACGTTCCACTAGACCCTACCTCTTAAAAACTCCACTACCTCCCAGAAGTGCCACTCTGGGGATCAAGCCTTTTAACACATGGACCTTTGGGGGACATGTAAGATCCAAAATACAATACAGTAATACAATAGGATTGTGTTCATCCATTTAAAAATAAAGTGAATGTCCACTGAGTGAAACGTAAATATGTGCCATGCTTCATTATTCAGCAGAATAATGAATGTACTTCATTGTAGAATACTATATATTTTGTTTTAAAATATTCAAAACTAATTGAAATTTGCATAATTTTTGCATCCATCTTGAGTGGTGGGACTATGGATGATTTTTCTTTGTATGTGTTGAAATTTGATGATTTTCCAATAATTAACCATGCTATATACTAATAAAAATGTTTTAAAATAGGATATGTATGTCTATATAAAATTAGTAACTTTGTAATGTCATAGAAGAATGGTTACAGGAATGGTGACTCAGATTAATGGTGAATTTGAGGAGGTCGTTCCAAGTTCAAATCCAAACTCTCCTACTGAAGTACAAGAGGACAGCTTATATATCCACAAGGACTACAGTGAAGTCTTTACACCTATCACATGTTTAGAAAAATATACAACACTTCAGGCACAGGACCAAGGTATAGCATTTGTTATTTCAATTATTATAAAATATTTCTACTAATATACATATTTTCATTTCAGAGAGTTTTTGTTTGATTGTATTTTTAATTTTGTTAAAGATAACTACCTACATAATTATGTCTTAAGTTTTTCCATGTTCAGTAAATATTTCTTCCTTTGTAATATTAATCCACTTTTTTTGTAAATTGGGTCTTTTTAGTAGTTTAAGTTTGATAGCTTTAAAATTACTTCCAGAGATTTTATTTGATAATCGTGTGCTCACAGATACCTTGCTGCAATGACATTGGCATCTGGATACATATCTCATCACATAGCAATGTAGTGTAACACCAAATTACTAGTCTCTGAAGTTATGGAATTATGAAGTTATAATTTTCAAAATATGCTAAAGATTTTTTATCTTATCTAATGTACGTGAAACCAGAGTTCAAAGTGGAGATGGAATAGTTGCAGTATTAGGTGAAGAACTAAACCAGGTTTTTATATTTTATCCAGACTTCTTCTTCTCACTAGAGGGTGTTGAATTTTTCAAACCATATAAACTTGCTGAGAATTGACTTTCTTATATGTTCTATTTTTAATATAAAACTTTAGGCTAGATATTATATAATTACTCCTACCATTTAAGAAATGCTATAGCTTGAGCATGAAAAAATAATTTGGTTATTTTCATTATTTTTATGTAGATACATGAAGTGTATTTAAAACATAAGTCCCTCACAGTTTGAGGAGAGACAGAGAGAGAGAGAGAAAGATCAAAGATGAAACTTGAGAGGACGATATAGTAGAAAAAGAATGCTGAATTTGAAGTTAGTAGATTTGAATTTCCAGTCCAAGTCTACTTTCTTTTCTTTTTTTTTTTTTTGATGATTCTAAAGTTTAAATTCAAGGCTATATGCTTGTTAAGCAGTCAGTCTACCACTTGAGCTGCACTCCCAATTCCCTTTGGTTTAGTTATTTTTCAAGTAGAGTTTTTTGCTTGGGGCCAGCCACAGACCACAACTGTCCTATTTATAACTCCTATGCAGTTGGGATTTTATTAACATTTTCTACATAAATATTAAAATATCTACATTTTAATTATATAGAATACCCCTTTACTTAAAATTTGTAATCCTATAGTTCAAAGACAAATTATTTCACTGATATAATCATACTGTAGGTGCATTACATTATTTTAATGTTAGCATTATCTTTGGAAAATATGCTTAAGTTTTCTTTAAGAGCATGACTTTTTCTTTTTTTGTGACATTGGGGTTTGAACTCAGGGCTTCATGCTTGCTAAAGCAGGTGCTCTTACCGCTTGAGCCATTCTACCAGCCCTAACAGCATGACTTTTAATGACTAATTTTTCTTCTGGTGGTGCTGGGGATGGAACGTAGGGCCTAGTGAGCACTAGGCAAGCACTCTCACCACTAAGCTGCATCTGCAGCTCAGTTTATAACTAATTTTTAATCTTAATCTTAATATATCATACATTAATTTGAGAGCACTCATGTTAATTTCAAATATGTACATAAATGTATTCTCTCCTTTCTGATTATTTCATTAAAGTGAATTCTGTATTGTGGAATCATTTGGTATTAATATTTTTTAGCTATGTTAATAAGTAAAGTATGCCAGCCTTGTCATGATTAGGTATATTACTGTTGTTGTAGTAATATACTTAAACAAATGTAATGGGCAAAAAGGTCTATTTTACTACATTTTAAAAATTACTGGTATTTATTGGTTCTGTGTATCTTTTTATTTTGTGAAATGATTCTCTCTTTTGTCTTTTTCTATTCATATGTATTATCTTTGTATGTAAAGATATCAATAAGTCTAAATGTATTTAATTAGTTCTCTTGATGTTTTCCTTTATGGTTTCTTTCATTAAGTTTATACTTAGAAAAAATCTTCCTTTATTAGATAACTATTTATTTGTGCTCTAAAGGTTTTATATTACTTTATTTCAGATTCTGGTATAGGTCTAAAAGTAGAAAAATAGTTTTTCTAAATGTTTTGGCAGTTGTCCCAATATCATTTTTGGAATAGTCCTTCCTTTCCCACTGATTAGAAATGCCTCTTACATCACATATACTAAATTCTTACCCATTTTGATAGTCTAATCCTGAGTTTTCCATTATAGTCTGTTGTTTTCCTTATTACTGTGTCTATCATACAGTTTTAACTATTTAATACATAATTATAACATATATTAACAGTCTCATCTTTGTATTAGTTTTTTTTCCTACCTTTGTTATTCTACATATACTTTGTAATCACTTCCAAAAAGTTCCCAAACAAGCCAGGTGCAGGTGGCTCACACCAGTAATCCTGCTACTTGGGAGGCTAAGATTAAGAGGATTGAAGTTCCAGGCCAGCCCAGGCCAAAAAAAAAAAAGTTTGTAAGGCCCAACTCAATTGAAAAAAAAGATGAGTGTGGTGGCACACATCTGTCACACTACATTAGGAAGTGTAAAGAGGGGGATGGTGGTCCAGGCTGGCCTGGGCAAAAGGAAATATACTATCTCAAAAATAACTAGAGCCATAAGTCCTGGAGATGTGGTTCAACTGGTGGAGCACCTACCTAGCAATCACAAAGCCCTGAGTTCAAACCCCAGTACCTCACACACATAAAAAAAGGTTCGAAACATACTCCTTGGGAAATTAGTGTTGAGATCCTTATCCAGGTTACTTTTTAAAAAAACGTTTAGAAAATCATTGATTTAATATTTTAAGTCACACAGCTTACTGCACACATTTATTTTCATTTAGTTAGGTTGGGTTATCTAGGGAGACAAAAGTATCTTCTACAAAGAATAAGCCTTTCTACTTTCCTATTAGTGGGCTTCTATTTTTTTTCTCTTTTTGTTATTAATGACCAAAAAGTATGTTTCCTTGTGACAACACACCTCTACAATAGAGGGAAACAACTTCTGTAGTTGTTATGAAGTAAGAACTCCAGAGAATATCATATAGCCATAATACAAGAAAGCAGCACTCTTGGTGAAACAGCCTTTGTGTTAAAATAAACAACACTGGTTGTGGTGAGATGCTGCCCTCGAGTGGCTACATCAAAGAAGGGCAATTGACTCCTCAGCACTGAAGGAAAACAAGACCTCATAACTTTATTTTTTATTTTTTTTATTTTTTATTATTCATATGTGCATACAATGCTTGGGTCATTTCTGCTCGCTCTCCCCACCCCCTCCCTCTCACCCCCACCCCCTCAACACCCGGCAGAAATTATTTTGCCCTTATCTCTAATTTTGTTGAAGAGACAGTACAAGCAATAATAGGAAGGACCAAGGGTTTTTGCTAGTTGAGATAAGGATAGCTATACAGGGAGTTGACTCACATTAATTTCCTGTGCGTGTGTGTTACCTTCTAGGTTGATTCTTGTTGATCTAACCTTTTCTCTAGTTCCTGGTCCCCTTCTCCTATTGGCCTCAGTTGCTTTTAAGGTATCTGCTTTAGTTTCTCTGCGTTGAGGGCAACAAATGCTATCTAGTTTTTTAGGTGTCTTACCTATCCTCACCCCTCCCTTGTGTGCTCTCACTTTTTCAGGTGCTCAAAGTCCAATCACCTTGTTTTGTTTGCCGTTGATCTAATGTCCGCATATGAGGGAGAACAAATGATTTTTGGTCTTTTGGGCCAGACTAACCTCACTCAGAATGATGTTCTCCAATTCCATCCATTTACCAGCAAATGATAACATTTCATTCTTCTTCATGGCTGCATAAAATTCCATTGTGTATAGATACCACATTTTCTTAATCCATTCATCAGTAGTGGGGCATCTTGGCTGTTTCCATAACTTGGCTATTGTGAATAGTGCTGCAATAAACATGGGTGTGCAGGTGCCTCTGGAGTAACCTGTGTCACAGTCTTTTGGGTATATCCCCAAGAGTGGTATTGCTGGATCATATGGTAGATCAATGTTTAGCTTTTTAAGTAGCCTCCAAATTTTTTTCCAGAGTGGTTGTACTAGTTTACATTCCCACCAACAGTGTAAGAGGGTTCCTTTTTCCCCACATCCTCGCCAACACCTGTTGGTGGTGGTGTTGCTAATGATGGCTATTCTAACAGGGGTGAGGTGGAATCTTAGTGTGGTTTTAATTTGCATTTCCTTTATTGCTAGAGATGGTGAGCATTTTTTCATGTGTTTTTTGGCCATTTGAATTTCTTCTTTTGAGAAAGTTCTGTTTAGTTCACTTGCCCATTTCTTTATTGGTTCATTAGTTTTGGGAGAATTTAGTTTTTTAAGTTCCCTATATATTCTGGTTATCAGTCCTTTGTCTGATGTGTAGCTGGCAAATATTTTCTCCCACTCTGTGGGTGTTCTCTTCAGTTTAAGACCATTTCTTTTGATGACAGAAGCTTTTTAGTTTTATGAGGTCCCATTTATCTATGCTATCTCTTAGTTGCTGCTGCTGGGGTTTCCATTGAGAAAGTTCTTACCTATACCCTAACTCCAGAGTATTTCCTACTCTTTCCTGTATCAACTTTAGAGTTTGGGTCTGATATTAAGATCCTTGATCCATTTTGAGTTAATATTGGTATAGGTTGATATACATGGATCTAGTTTCAGTTTTTTGCAGACTGCTAACCAGTTTTCCCAACAGTTTTTGTTGAAGAGGCTGCTATTTCTCCATCGTATATTTTAGCGCCTTTGTCAAAGACAAGTTGGTTATAGTTGTGTGGCTTCATATCTGGTCCTCTATTCTGTTCCACTGGTCTTCATGTCTGTTTTTTGCCAGTACCATGCTGTTTTTATTGTTATTGCTTTGTAATATAGTTTGAAGTCAGGTATCGTGATAGCTCCAGCATTGTTCTTTTGACTGAGTATTGCCTTGGCTATTCGTGGCCTCTTGTGTTTCCATATAGATTTCACGTAGATTTTTCAATCTCTTTAATGAATGTCATTGGAATTTTGATGGGAATTGCATTAAACATGTAGATTACTTTTGGGAGTATAGACATTTTTACTATGTTGATTCTACCAATCCAT